GAGGAGGAGGAGGAAGGTGACAGCGAGGAAGAGGAAGGTGACAGCGAGGAGGAGGAGGAAGGTGACAGCGAGGGGACGGGTGACACCGAGGAGGAGGAGGAGGAGGAGGAGGAGGAGGAGGAGCCCGAGGACAGTGAGGGTGACACCGAGGACAGCGAGGGTGACACCGAGGACGGCGAGGGTGACACCGGCACTGCCGCCACAGGTGAGGCTGATGGCGCAGGTGGCGCCTGTGGTGGCACAGGTGACATCACCCCACAGGTGACAGCTGGGCCACTCCAGGTGACATCACCCCACAGGCGACACCTGTGACAGTACAGGTGACGTCACCCCCACAGGTGACAGCTGTGATGGCACAGGTGACATCACCCCTACAGGTGACAGCTGTGACAGTACAGGTGATGTCACCCCTGCAGGTGATACCTGTGGCAGTACAGGTGACATCAGTCTGTCAAGTGCCACCTGTGATGGCACAGGTGATGTCACCCGCACAGGTGACACCTGTGCCACACCCGGTGACATCACCCCTGCAGGTGGCACCTGTGCCTCTCCAGGTGACATCACCCCACAGGTGACACCTGTGTCACTCCGGGTGACATCACCTTACAGGTCACACCTGTGACATTCCGGGTGACATCACCCCTACAGGTCACACCTGTGCCACCCCAGGTGACGTCACCCACACAGGTGACACCTGTAATGTACAGGTGACATTAGTCTCTCAAGTGACACCTGTGCTACCCCAGGTGACATCACCTGACAGGTGACACCCGTGTCACTCCAGGTGACATCACCCCTACAGGTCACACCTGTGCCACCCCAGATGACGTCACCCACACAGGTGACACCTGTAATGTACAGGTGACATTAGTCTGTCAAGTGACACCTGTGCCACCCCAGGTGACATCACCTCCTCAGGTGACACCTGCGCCAGCCCAGGTGACATCACCTGACAGGTGACACCTGTGATAGTACAGGTGATGTCACCCCTACAGGTCACACCTGTGCCACCCCAGGTGACGTCACTCACACAGGTGACACCTGTGATGTACAGGTGATGTCACCTGAGCGGTGCCATCTGTCCCCAGCAGGTGACACCTGTGTCACCCCAGGTGACGTCACCCACACAGGTGACACCTGTGATGTACAGGTGATGTCACCTGAGCGGTGCCACCTGTCCCCAGCAGGTGACACCTGTGTCACCCCAGGTGACGTCACCCCCACAGGTGACACCTGTGACAGTACAGGTGACATCAGTCTGTCGAGTGACACCTGTGCCACCCGCGNACACCTGGGGACAGCTGGGGACAGCCTGGGGACACCTTGGGGACAGCTGGGGACACCTGGGGACAGCTGGGGACACACCTGGGGACACCTGGGGACACACCTGGGGACACACCTGGGGACACCTGGGGACAGCTGGGGTAACACCTGGGGACAGCTGGGGACACCTGGGGACACATGGGGTAACACCTGGGAGCTGCCCGAGGGCACAGGTGGGCACCCAGGGGGGCATGGGGACACCTGGGGACACACCTGGGGACACCTGGGGACACCTGGGGACAGCTGGGGACACACCTGGGGACACCTGGGGACACCTGGGGACAGCTGGGGACACACCTGGGAGCTGCCCGAGGGCACAGGTGGGCACCGGGGGCATGGGGACACCTGGGGACACCTGGGGACACCTGGGGACACCTGGAGACACCTGGGGACACCTGGGGACACCTGGGGTAACACCTGGGAGCTGCCCGAGGGCACAGGTGGGCACCCAGGGGCGCATGGGGACACCTGGGGACAGCTGGGGACAGCTGGGGACACCTGGGGACACACCTGGGGACACCTGGGACACACCTGGGGACAGCTGGGGTAACACCTGGGGACAGCTGGGGACACCTGGGGACAGCTGGGGACAGCTGGGGACAGCTGGGGACAGCTGGGGTAACACCTGGGGACACCTGGGGACACACCTGGGGACACCTGGGGACACATGGGGTAACACCTGGGATCTGCCCGAGGGCACAGGTGGGCACCCAGGGGCGCATGGGGACACCTGGGGTGACACCTGGGGACAGCTGGGGACAGCTGGGGATAGCTGGGGACACACCTGGGGGGGTGGGGACACCCCTGGGGACACCTGGGGACAGCTGGGGACACCTGAGAGCTGCCCAAGGGCACAGGTGGGCACGGGGGGCATGGGGACACCTGGGGACACATGGGGACAGCTGGGAACACACCTGGGACAAACCTGGGAGCTGCCCAAGGGCACAGGTGGGCACCCAGGGGGGCATGGGGACACCTGGGGACACCTGGGGACAGCTGGGGACACACCTGGGGACACCTGGGGACACCTGGGGACACCTGGGGTAACACCTGGGGTAACACCTGGGGACAGCTGGGGACAGCTGGGGCACCCGGGGTGACAGCTGGGGACACACCTGGGACAAACCTGGGATCTGCCCGAGGGCACAGGTGGGCACCCAGGGGGGCATGGGGACACCTGGGGACACACCTGGGGACACCTGGGGACAGTTGGGAGCAGCTGGGGACACACCTGGGAGCTGCCCAAGGGCACAGGTGGGCACGGGGGGCATGGGGACACCTGGGGACAGCTGGGGACAGTTGAGAATGCACCTGAGGACACCTGGGACAGCTGGGGATGCACCTGGGGGGGTGGGGACACACCTGGGGACACCCGTGACACCCATGACACCCGTGTCACCCGTGTCACCCATGGCACCTGTGATACCTCTGTCACCTGTGTCACCCATGTCACCCGTGACACCC